GTCATTCATCATGATATTACGAGTATATAAATGAATGATTCCATATGTTCCATGTCTAATATTCAAAACATGTTCTTAGATATAAATACCAAATGTTTTGTTATTTAGACTCAATTAACACTTATAGTTTCATGTCTTGTTACATAAGAATAGATCATATTTGTTAAGTGTTATTGTGGGAGACTATTCTTGTGGTACTGCTGCCTTATTAGGCCCATATTGAGCAGAGACCAAAACTCATGTTCAACAACTTCCTTACTTGCAATAAATCAGCACTAATTAGAGGGTTATTGAGGAAAAACTCTCAACTAATGGCTTATTACTTGGAGAATATGGTCATGCAGAATAAGGCATTACTAAGTGTTTTATAATGGCTAATAAAGAGCTAATATACTGATAATATGCATGTTAGTTAACAACTAGTTGATGGTTAATTTGTGTACCTTAATATAAAGTGTTAGCAAAAGTTCTTTAGCCTTCCCAAACCTGAGCCTCACACGCCGCCTACGTGTTTAGCGTGGTTCTACAATCAGAGAGTTACAAGGGTCTGTAAATGCAAGGAAAACAATTGGCCACAGCATTTATATTAAAGTTAAATATGTTTACACATATAAATCATCAAAACAGAGCTACATTCGATTGAAAAGGTATACGTGGTCAAATGAAGAGCCGTTTGGGAGCCGGAAGAGCCGGCTCTTCTTGGTGAGCCAAATGATTCCCATCACTACCACACAGCGACGTGCAGTCAGGGGAGACAGGGGAGGCAGAGCCTCACCTGTCATACTCCAATGAAACGGAAAAACAACTAAAGAAAAACTAAATAGTAATAATAATAACATGTCTCCAGTGATCTGTGTTGTAAATGTGATTTCTGTTTGATTCCAATCGCTTTTTATAGTCAAAATCAACAAATGTGCCGAGCTCCGCTACAACTACATGGGAGCGATGAAGAGTGAGGCAGGGACGAGCTCTGCCTCACGTAAGCCCACAGTAACTGGCTGGAGCGCGGGCACTAATTTAACGCGGGCACTTATTTTGTGAGCGCGCTCAAGCAAGTTACTGTGTGGTGAGGTGAGGCACAGATGAGCTCTGCCTCACCTCAGAATGCGTCACCTCGCAGAAACTGGCTGGAAAGCGAGCACTAAGCGCATGCCTGCACCATCTCACTGTAGGTCACCAATGTAATGTTTGTAGATTCCTTTATTACATTTATCCTCGCCATCCATAGTCTCTAAATAACTTATTTCACGTATATATGATATTTAGGCTCGCTGGTCTCATCATACAACGGCAATGAAAAAAGCACCAGGGGAGGCAGCCATAACCTCTGCCGCACTGAAGGGGGCGCACGTGAGCCCACGGGTTCTTGTTGCTACTGTTATTCTACGCAGAGACGGTAGATGCAAACAACAAGCTAGACTTTTGAAACGAGAGGAAGATAAGGAGGACTTTTACAAAAAAGTAATGGAGATTGTTGTCCAGAAGGAGAGCATGGACTTCATCTTCAAATCAAGGTGAGACCACCATTGTAATGAAAATGGGATCTTACTAAGAAAGAACAATCCAATATTTAGATGTTGGTTATCCTTTTGTTGAACGGTCTGTTTAAAATGAATTGAAGCATCAGACTAAAAAAGCTTTTGAAAATAACCGAGTATTTCAATTAAGGTCAAAATATAATATTTGTAAATCTGACTCTGAAAGAGTCAGTGCCTCACCAGCCATGAACCTCACCGCACGTCACTGATATACAGTATACTCCTGTAGTGTAAACATATATTCATGTTACTAACTGCAGTACTCTTGACTTTTTTTTAGAACATTTTAATTATCCAGAATTTTTATATTGTTGATATTTGATATTGTAGTGCCGAGAGAAGGGAGTCAGAGGCGCGGCATCGAAGGTGCAAAGTTGGCTTTATTAAGCAAGAGAAAAGCACATGGCTTGAAGCCCGGGAAGCAAAGAGGAAGAAGCAAGGAGGGCACACAATAAATACAGTCAGCAACACAAATGTCCGTGCGGAAACAATACCCCCAACCCGTAGTTCCATGAGTGAATTATGTAACCTAGTTAATTAGTGATCACTACAATATCATATTTTTCATTTTTTTTCTCTATTCAACTTTTTAAGTATTTGTATTTTATGTCTGAACACAATGATGCTTCTTCTGTAACAACATAATTGATGTTGAATGGAGGGTGCAGTACTGAGTGTTTCCAGCAGAGGGCCATCCTGCATTACAATGAAAACACCACCACACCGGAAGAGTTCAGACATCTATATTTAGTTGAATAACCCTGATTTAAAAACTAATCAAGGTTCACATCCTCTCCTCCAAATGTGTATTGTTGGTACTTTAAGTATATTTTGATTCTAGTAGTTTGTTCTAGAGATAGAAGAGAGGAGATCGTTCACAGCGGCCATTATCGTTATCGTACCTGCTGACAGAAAACCAGACAGACGAGTTCTGACTGATATCCCACTGATACTCTGACAGTAAAGGCTGTTAAAGGTTAGCGGGCATTTAAGGACGCCTTCTGAAGGATGCTCACCAGATAATGACACTGATATGTTTCATCATGGGGCAGGAAGACCCATGCAAAAGCTCCCACCACCCAACCCAGTCTCACGGCATTTCGTGTTCACCAACACGATTTTTAATCTATTGATTCGTGTTCCCCAACACGATTTGCCCCTTTTTTTCGTGTTGCACAGCACGATTTTAAAAGCAATGTATTTCTACTGCCTGCAGCACGTCTTTTTCTCCGGTCGGGTCGAGGAAGACCGGAAGCTGTGTGGTTCATAAAAACATGTTCTTACTCAATATCAAGCCACAGTTATTGCCTTTATTTTAAATCGTATAATTTCGGACTTTTGTTTCCGTCTGTGAGGAAAATAAATGTCTCAGAGCCTCAGAATACGGAAATCTGTATTTTTAAATATTTTTTCCTTCTAATTCGATATTCTTTTCAAAATAACACACTGTTATTTACTCACCAATAACACACAATTATCCTTGCTTTTATTTATTGGTTTAATTCCATAATCTCGGGCTTTTTTGGCGTCCGTCAGAGACTGAATTTCAAAATAAAATAAAAAACCGGAAACAGACGTTGGCCTATAAGGGACATTTCGAGCATCATTGCGATTGTCAACATTTCTGAGTTTAGGATGGCCGAAGACACTACACTACCCATAATCCCCAGCTATCGTTTAGGACTACAGTCCCGTAAGGTTACGCAGAGCGTCAAACAGCTGTGTGAAATGGAACGAAACCACGCCAGACTATCCAAAACTGGAATCGAACGCCCCCCCCAGAACTACACATGCTGGCTATTGTGTTTCGCAAAATGTTCTATGGGACGTCTCTACTGAACGTTTTCGTTTTCCCCACAATTAGAAGTTGCCAGTATTAAACACATTGGTGTTATCAAATGTAAAACATATAATTAATAAATGGGTGAAAATCGCTTGTGTCCATAATGCGCAGCATTAATACCCACATGACAGCTCATTGTTACTTTGTAATTCTACTCCACTACAATTCAGAGGTTAACCTGGTATTTTTACTCCACTGCATTTATTTGAGTTACTTTGCAGATTCTGATTAATTATGTGAAATATAAACAACCCTTAAATCAGACTTTAGTTACACCTGAGTAACATTCAGGTAAGGTGATTGTCAAGTGCCAACAATCAGGAGAGATATTTGATAGTTGGTGCTTGAGAAGACTAAACATGTATCTGCAATTGACATGAATGGAAACGAGTAATAAAGTATATTCATTACTCGTTATTCTCTACTAATAGTTAATTAAAGACTGTATATTATGGCTATTTTGCACATCCCTTTCAAGATTTTCAAAGGTGTATTGACATATCATATACACAACTACGGTGTAGTTATGCAATGAATGAAACACTTGGATCACAGGTTCCTCAACAGTGCATTACAAGACATCTATCAATATGTGTGAACCTCCACCATTAAACTGTCATATTCTGCACATTTCTTATTCTATCTACATAAGAGTATAATTCATATGTATAATATCAGTTAAAATAAGTGCTTCAACATAGTTAACATTGCAGGAAAGCAATATATTAGACGTTAAGTACTTTGTCAGGCTTAATATTTATCTGTAGATAGATACCCCCAAAGTGTTTTTCTTATTTAAAAGAAGACCTTAACTTAAAGTGTTATTTAATGTTTAAATAAAGGTTAATTCGTTTTTCTGTTTTGCACCTCCTCCTATTAATATCTTTGTACATCCTGCACTAAACTGTTTTATTGTAGAGATGACTTATAGTATCTTCTTGATTTTTTATATTCTATATTTATTCTTTCCCCCTATGAAAGTATGTACTCTTAATATTTTTTTAATCAAATAAAACACAATAATTCAATAACGTGCTTTAACCACTAGGAGGTGCACACAAGGTACACACAGCCATAATAACTTTGTATTATTAGTGTAGGACACTTATGTATGTACAACATCTGAAGATGTGTAATTGTATGCATGCTTTCACATCATTTTACAGCATATTGCTATACTATTTCAGACTCAGTATTTACATTCTTACATTCAAAGAAAATCAGTAATATCTTTAAAAACTACAGTCCTTTTATATCAGCTGTGCACCGTTATGGTGTAAATATAACCTATCTGTGAATTAGATCAAATGTAAAAGTCAGCCGAATTAGTGTTGATACTGCAAGGAGACGTATTGTGTGAAGAGAAATTGAAGATGTTGTTTAATTTTTGAATATATTTATGATCCACGTCAAGTATTCAGTTTCGGCGGCATTTTCTCAGTTTTTCCAAAGGTCTTCTTCATCAGGGCTCTATAAATAATATCTACGGTAGATCTGTAATATACAATGCAGCCGAACCGTGTATTACAATGCCGTATGTTGATGACTTCCAAGAGAATAGCAAGAGCGCTCGGAATTAAGTATTCTTTATTCTTTTAAAATGTTTTCCGGATTTCATATCATATAAACACCAAATCCCAGCATGCATTGCCATCTGGGTTGAATGTGTTGGTTCATTTGGGCAGCAATAACATGGAATCTGTCAAAGTAATACATGTGATTCTAAATGTCTCTGAAGACTCGTGCACTACAAGAGAAACAACAACATGAATCAAAAGAAACATCCAGCAAATCTTTAGAGCAAAGTTTCCAGGTGAGCAAGGATCCTCCTGAGCAGTGACAGCCTCCATGCTACACAGACACAGGAAGGAGCCGGGAGAAAGTCCAACATCTACAGAACAACTCATGAGAAGACGTTCAAGCCCCACCCATCATGTTTGAGTGACAGCTGATCTCTGCAGTGAAGACATGGACAATCAGCTCTGATGGACACACGGTGAGTTCAAGAAGTAGAAGAGTTCTTCCAAGGACTTCAGACTATTAGAGTTTACAAAACTCAGCAGTGTCTCCATAATTAAAATAAACATAAAGTCCAGCATGTAGCGGCTGAGTGAACGTGGTCTGCACTCTGTGGAGGAGAGTCATGGTTTCAGAGACGCTGTAGAAGGACAGAACACCTGCTCTGTGATCCAGGTACACTCCTACTCTGGAGGACAGAGGCAGTGGCGTAGCGGAGGCCCCCGCACCCCCCGCGGTGCGGGGGAGCCCCGGAGCTTAGGGGGCCCCGCCCCCACTGTAGGCTATCCTCTTAGATTTCGTAACGCGGGAACAGGGTGCAGAGGGCGGGGCCCCCCCCTCCCTGCTATGTTGCTACGTCATGTGTACGCTGCCTGTAGTAGTACAACAGTGTATCATTATAATTATTTGCTCATCTGCGATAGGGCTAGCCGGCTGATAACTAATGTTCATTGGCAGGCTGGGCAGCGTTCAAAACAAAGCGGGAAGCATTGCTCATATAAATAACGTTCATTAGTTGCGTTGCCGGTAAACATGAAAAATGAAGCGCCACTACCCAAGCGGTGCTCAGAAAAGCAAAATGAGAGCGAAAGCCGAACAGGAGAGGGCAAAACTACCTAAAATAACGTCATTGTTCCGGCAGGCAGCAAAGGTAGACGTAGACTCTAACGTTACTGCAGATAGACCGCTAGCAACCCCCCCCGGCCCCCGGCCGTCAGCTCCGAGTCCAGGCAGACAGCCCAGCAGCCCCGTTACAGCCGAGCCAGCTAGTCGTGCCTCGCGCTTCGAGACAGGTTAGACATTAGAATAATATAAAGTTTTATTCGCCATAACCAGTATGCTACAGGTTACATTGGAATTGGAATCTAATCCGTTCATTTTTGCAGGTCAGCAAGAAGTCAGCTGTGCCCCCTCTGAGGCCAGTTCAGACATAGGCATAGACAAGGCTGCCCAGCCAGCTAGCCGTGCCCCCACAGACCCCAGCAGCCCCGTTACAGCCGAGTCAGCTAGTCGTGCCTCACGCTTCGAGACAGGTTAGAATAATAGAAAGTTTTATTCGCCAATCGCCATAAACAGTACGAGTCAGTATGCTACAGGTTACATTGGAATTGCAATATAATCCGTTCCTTTTTGCAGGTCAGCAAGAAGTCAGCTGTGCCCCCTCCGAGGCCAGTTCAGACATAGCCAAGGTTGCCCAGCCAGCTAGCCGTGCCCCGACAGTGACAGCAGCTCCCACCCACCCCAGGGACACGTTGGCCAGCGACAACTCTGTGACTGAATACCCTACTGATAGGGGGAAATTCCCTGTAGATTTAGAAGACGATGATGTTAAACGGTACATTCTGAATAACGGGCCATGCAAGCCTGAAGGGCCATTCAAAAGGGATGGGAAGGGAAGGTGCTTTTCAAAAGAGTTCTATAACAAAACATCCAAAATTGGATGTAGAATTCCACGAAAGTGGCTATGTTACTCGCCATCTATGGACCGGGTGTACTGTGAGCAGTGCTGGCTGTTCGGTGACAGACCGTCTGCCCATCACCTCCACCAAGCGTGGAGAATAGGAATAAATGATTGGCAGGGTCTCTCTAAAAAGATTAAGGAACACGAATTCTCTCGCTCTCATTTGGCAGCATGTGTCGTGTATGATACGTGGAAAAATAATCTGACCATTGACGCGCAAATATCATCTGAGTTTAAGAGAGAGGTGGGGTTTTGGACCGAGGTCCTAACCAGAATAACTGATGTTACACTAACACTGGCCTCTCGCAACTCTGCTTTCCGGAGAAAATAGGTGATATAGATAATGGTAATTTCTTATCTACCATAGAACTTATGGCGCGTTATGATCCAGTTCTGCAAAGGCTTATTGAAAGCAAAAAGAAGGTGCACTACCTAAGTCCTCAAACTCAAAACGAAATAATTTCATTGCTATCGAAAAAAGTGCAGGACACAATCATTACAGACATACAGAATGCAGAATTATATTCGATTATAATGGATACTACCCAGGACATTTCAAAAGTAGACCAACTGAGTCAAGTGTTCAGATATGTTACTATAGCAAATGATGAAAATGGAAACCCTACAGAGGTGAAAATAAACTAAAGTTTTTTGGGCTTCCATGCAGTCACAGACCAAACTGCTGCAGGTCTAGAGAGAGAAATTCTCGAATCGATGGAGAGAAAGGGGATACTACTTGGGAAGTGCCGCAGACAAGGATATGACGGGGCTAGCAATATGAGTGGCGTCTACTCCGGTGTACAAAAACGCATAAGGTATAAAGAGCCCAACGCAGTGTACATTCATTGTGCTGCTCACAATTTAAACCTTGTACTCAATGACGCATGCCAAAATATACCTGAGATAAAAGACTTCTACGACACTGTTGAAAGGCTATATGTATTCTTTAGTGGAAGCATCAAACGATGGGAGCTTTTGGAAACACACCTCTCAGTGCCCAAGGCTGGCCAGCCTACACTGAAGAGACTATGCCCGACACGATGGGCATCAAGACAAGACGCCGTCCAATCATTGCGGTTCCGTTATGCTGACATTATGCAAGCGCTAACTAAGATAGACTTGCTCTCCAAAAAAAGCGAGGAACGTGCCGAGGCGACTGGCTTGAAAAAGGCCATGGAGAGCTTTGAGTTTGTTGTAATGACTGTAATACAGGGCAAGGTCCTTGAAACAGTCAACATTGTGTCCCAAGCTCTCCAGCGCAAAGACGTGGACCTCTTACAGGCGACAGCAATGCTTGGTAACGCAACCGATACACTTGCCCAACTCCGAGGAGAGTTTGATGGCTTAAAAGCGCACGCGCAAGACCTGGCATCCTCATGGGGTGTCCACAGTCTCTTCAAAGAAAGACGCGCAAGGCGCACAAAGAGGCACTTTTCAGAGCTTTGCGAGGACCAGCGGCTCCAAGACCCAGGGGAGCATTTTAGAGTGGCGGTATTTTACGCAAATATCGATATTGTCGTTGCCCAACTCAAAAATCGATTTGTTGGAATGAGCGAAGTTGCACAGCGATTTTCTTTTCTGCTTCCCCGCGAACTTTTGCGCGCAACAGACAAGGATCTGTCTGAGTCCGCAAGTGCTTTATCAGGCCAGTATAAAGACGACCTGTCAGCCGAGTTTCCTTTCCAGATCCTGTCCCTCCGGAATGCTCTTAGGCCTACTATAAAGAACATTGAGCGTGGAACAATCAAAGACCTTGCACAAACCCTGCTCATTGAAAATCAGTCCATTTTGCCAAGTATCCCCGATGTTGCCACAGCATTGAAATTGTTTTTAACTATACCCGTGACTGTTGCCAGTGCTGAGAGATCTTTCTCAAAACTTCAATTAATAAAGACATATTTGAGGAGCACAATGTCGCAAGAGAGACTGTCTGGGTTAGCAGTCCTTAGTATTGAGAGCCGACGCACGCGCAGTATAGATTTAAAGACTGTTATACAGGACTTTGCGCAGAAGAATGCCAGGAGATGTGCTCGTATAAAATAATAGGCCTACAAAGCAGCTCCTGATTGCATCCTCTTTGTAGCCTATATAGGATGTGTTTTATTTGCTTGTTTTTTGTAGGCTACTTTTCTTTTATACAGAATGTTATGTGAACCGTTCCGTTGTGTGAACTCCAATGATGATAGGCTATAACGTTCTACAATATACCTTCATGTTACAAAAAATACACAGCCACTTGTTTGTATTTGTCAATTATGTTTCAATCAGATGTATATTATTATACAGTTCCTACTGACCTTACTGTTTAAATCAGATGTATCTATACAGAAAGTTCCTACTGACCTATAGGCCTACTGTTTACAAAAGATGCCTGAAAAAATAAACATTTAAAAAAGTGGCCGCGATGTCTATCCCATGTCACTCTATTATTGATTTAGGGGAGGGGGCGGGGCCCCATGGTCCGACCTGCGGGGGAGCCCCGAAATATTGCGCAACGCCACTGGACAGAGGCCCTGAGACGGGAGTGAGGATACTGTTGTGAATAAATGTAAAACTGTTTTGGTCACAAACTAAGGACCAGGATTTGTCATTGTTTCCAAATAGACTTTCCCCCCCTGCTCTGCTGATATTCTTGTATGCGACAGCTACACGAACTCCTTCCCCTCTCCACTCCACCTCCCAGTAACAACGTCCAGTCAGACTCTCTCGACTCAGGACCTGAGGATACCATCCAGTGAATCTGTCTGGGTGACTGGAATAAGACTGACGTTGTTCCACGGCTGTTGCTTTTCTGCTCCCCTCAGATAATAACAGATATGTGAATGCTGTGTTTGGATCCAGAGTGATCTCCTGTGAATATGTGAAGAACCCAGCTTCAGTCGGTGAGACGTTTGTCCATCCCTCTCTCAGGGCGTCCTGTAGTTTGTCTCTGACTGCTGACAGGGCCGCCGTCACGTCCTCAAAGTAGCTCAGAGGACGGATGTTGATGCTGGAGGAGTGTGTAGCTTCACTGAGGGCTGACAGTGAGGGGTAGCTGAGCAGGAACTGGTTGTGATCCTCTGTGTGAGACAGCAGCTTCAGCTCAGCGTCTCTCCTCTTCAGCTCAGAGATCTCCTGCTCCAGCTTCTCCTGGAGCTCTCTGACTCGACTCACTTCTCTCTTCTGCTGGGATCTGAGCTGCTGCTTCACATCAGAGCTTCTCTTCTCCATGAGACGGATCAGCTCAGTGAACGTCTTCTCACTGTCCTCCACTGCTTTATCAGCAGAGCCATTGACGGCCTCCACCTCCTGCTGAAGCAGCTTCACCTCCTTCTCTCCGTCCTGGATCCTCTGCTGGATGTTGAGTCGACTCCCCTCCAGCTCTCTCTGCCTCTCAGTCCTCTCTGCTGCAGCTGACACCGTGTCGTGGCCTTTGTGTTCGTCCACAGAGCAGAGAGAACAGATACTCTGCTGATCAGTGCGGCAGAACAGCTTCTTCACCTCGTCGTGACGAGAGCAGATGTTCTCCTGGAGCTTCTTGGAGGGCTCCACCAGCTTGTGTTTCTGTAATGGAGCTGCGTCATAATGAGGCTGGAGGTGTTTGTCACAGTAAGAGGCCAGACACACGAGGCAGGACTTACAGGCTCTCAGCTTCCTCCCAGTGCAGACATCACAGGCCACATCTTCAGCTCCAGCATAGCAGAGATCAGCAGGAGCAGCTGGGGGTCCAGTCTTCTTCAGCTCCTCCACTAAAGCTGCTAACATGGTGTTCTTCAGCAGGACAGGCCTCGGTGTGAAGCTCTGCCTGCACTGAGGGCAGCTGTGGATCTTCTTCTCATCCTCTCCGTCCCAGAAGCCTTTAATACACTTCATGCAGTAGCTGTGTCCACAGGAAGTGCTCACCGGATCCTTCAGTAGATCCAGACAGATGGGACAAGATAACATTTCCCGCTCCAGCTGAACTGAAACTAGTGACAGCTGATCTGACAGCATGTGTGTGAGCAGTGAATGTGGCCTATCAGCTCTCGTACTTTACCCACATGTTGGTTTCACCCCTCCTCCTCAGTGTGGGTCTGAAGGGGAGGAGCCAGGAAACACAGAGTGGAGCTGGCTGTGTCTGAGAGCAGGAAGAAGAGGGAGGGCTCATCAAACGCTGACTCATTCCAGGAGGAGGAGCAGTGCTCAGACTCTGACCTCCACAGAGCCTCGGTTACAACCTGCTCTTCCTTTGAAAAGAGCTTTTAGTTGTAAAATAAGTGGGTAAACTTACAAAATCTGAAGGGGGTTAAATACTTGTTTCCTCCACTGTAAATGTATAGAAGGCCTCTTTACCAAGCTCCAAACTAAGTGAAATATCTCAAAAAGTGTAAAAGATATCATAAATCTGAAGAACATGTTTAATAGCTGAATGTCTTGTGATCATTTTAAAGTTGGAATGAAGTCTCTAGCTGAAAGTATGTGGAAGGAGAAGCTTTTGGTGCACGGTGTAGCTAAAAGAGGATTTGAAGGTTCCTCCCATTGAGTTACATAAAGAGTTTAAAAAGCTGAATATTTCAAAAAGTATAAAGTGTTTTGAAAAAGTACAAAGTGTCCCATCATGTGCTGAAAAGGCTGCATCTTGTGATGTCTGAATGGTTCCTGGAGCTGAAAGTATGGCTGCACAGCATTCCACTAAGTAAACTAATGCAGTGCACCAAGCAGCTCTCTGGTGTTCCCTCCAGCTTCAAGTCAGCATGAAGTCACGGAGAGGCAACACCATCCAGCTCTGAAGGAGTTTCTGTGCTCACTTCCTGTCTCTTTGTATTCATGTTGGGAAACTTTGTACACATGTGATGTCTCTTTTTGGATATTTGGAGTTTTTACCTTTGAAACTCTAGATATTTCGCCTCCTTGTGTTTTCTGTAATCCCTTGTTTGTTCCAATGTGGCCGTTAATGTCTCCCTGGTTCATCACATGGAGACGCCCTGATCAGTGAACTATGGACGACAGATCTCTATCAGCTGAGATTGGAAATGTGCACCATGTCCAGTAACCTGGTTCATGTTCCTCAGAGTTGCAGAAGATGCTGACGCTCTGTTCAGTAATGAAATAGACCTTATTTCAGGCGAGTGCCAGGTAAGAGACACTTTGAAAAGCTCTGCTTCAAAGCAGCTCCGCCTCTTTGTGTTGTCCTTTATCAGCAGGTGGTGTTTGTACGTCTCTCTGTAGTAACTCAGTCCCTTGGTGCTCATTCTGTGTCTTTCTGCTCACGCTTCATTGTGGTCACTTTGAGGGTCTATATTCTTATGAACCATTCAAACCTAAAGCTTACAAGCTTTAAAGTTACCTTCAGATTTAAATGAGAAAAAGTCACGAGACAGAAAACAGAATCCAGCTCAAAACGTTTATTCAGTCATCAGAAACTTCCATGTTAAGTTTCACAGGAGAGGAGGATTATGGGTAATGTAGTCAAACATGATCATCTACATATGATCAGATCAGGTGAACTCTGAGGATCAGCTGGGATCTCTCAGGTGACTTCAGTTCTTCCCCCCCATGGTGTGCTTGTCGAACAGGTACTCGGCCATCTTGTTGGTGTTGGAGTCCATTCTGCTCAGATTAGAGATGAAGTCTCCGAGCTTCTTGATGGACTCGACCTGCTCGTTCAGGTAGTGAGTCTCCAGGAAGTCACACATCTGAGGAGGAGAAGAGAGCAGACGTTAACAACTAAAGCTTCAGAGACGTTGAATCCCAGAGATCATCAGTGTGTAGTTCCTCATGTTCAGCAGGTGTTACTCACATGAGGGTCGGCGTGGTCTGAGGCCAGTTTGTGCAGATCCAGCAGAGCCTGGTTCACGTTCTTCTCCAGCTGCAGAGCGGCCTGCATGGCCTCCAGACCCGAGCCCCACTCGTCTCGCTCTGGCTTCTGTAACGAGGGACCACCAGTTAGAGGGGGAGGGTACATAAAGCAAAGAGCCTCAGTCTTAGTTTGAAATAAGTGAGAAACATGTTTATTTAAGACAGATTTAGGAAAGCCACCACTAAGTGTGTCCCTTTAGAATAACCCGTATGCACTTGCAGTCTACATCACTTCTTCATTTAAGCACACTAGTTTCTCATGTTTACATAAGACATTTAAAAATATTTGTTTATGTACTTTTTTTTATATGCATTTAATTATATTTTGTACTCGAGCCCAAAGCTTTATTCACAAGCTGCTGTAACAAGAATAAAAACCCTTTAAAGTACATTTAATCTATTAGACGACATGTCAATATACATACTAACATTAGTCCTGTGCAATAAAGCTTGAGAACAGGACGAGGTGCAAATGGAAATATTCTGTATCTTTCCAAGACAAGCCTTTAATGCATCCGTTAAAGTCAACGCCCTGTTGCATTGTGGTACATATAGTTGGATAAATGAACCCCACCAGTCTAAATAAGCTTTCTCACGGCGCTGCCAAGTCACCTGAGCCGAGAGCCAATGAAATCTGTGGCTTTAACGGCACGAGGATGTTGAGATTTAGGGTAAAATAAATGACGTATTTAAACTCTACACATGGAGCTGCTGTGATGCAAGGAGCATCTCAGACTTGATCTGACCATTAAAGGATTCTCGTATCGTAGAGGTCCTGCAGATATTTACCTTGATGTCCTGCAGGAAGATGCGTCCTCCTCGACTGTTCTGGAAGGTGAGCAGCTTGTCGGCGTGCTCCCGCTCCTCCTCGCTGGTCTCCTTGAAGAAGTGAGCGAAGCCGGGCAGGGCCACGTCGTCACGGGAGAAATAAAAGGCCTGCAGACAGAAGACAGAGGTTAGAGAACAGACCGCTCGTTACACACAGAACAGGTCGAGACAAACGGTCGTTATGAGCCGAGGGCAGACAGAAACATGAGTCATGATTTCAGGGTGGGGATAACAACCAGCGTAAGCATGACACAGCATTATGTGGACTGAATTGTGGACAGGGACTAGAACAGTCACAAATGGAAGCAGTATTTAGATCCATAACTTAAGTAGAAGTACTATCATCTTAAAACACTAAAGTGTCTGATTAGATAAAGTCAGTAAAACCCGTTCAGTCTGAGGTAGAAACAGGAGGGTCTGTAATCTAAAGACACTTTAACAGAAGAGAGAATAATGGAGTCTGTAGCCTTTAGGTTATGCTAATGCGTGTTAGCTTAAAACAGGGATTCTGTGATTTGATGATATCTGTAAAACAATAGTCTGCCATCTTGTATTTGTACACCCTGCATCACCAGATGACTCCACGGTTATGGAGATCATGTTGTATTTGATTGGGTACCAAACAGTTCAACAGCTTTTACTTTGGTGTGTGTCGTTGGCTCGAGGCACTTGTGTTTTGCCCACCAGAGACTACGTGGTTCCCCTGTGACGTTAGCTTGTTTACTCATAATACACTTACACCATTTAATACAGGCACACAATGAACATGTAACGGTGTAAAGAGTGTTTGTTACCATGGAGGTGTAGGAGTAGGAGGCGAACAGCTCCATGTTCAGCATCCGGTTAACGGCCGCCTCGCAGTCGCGGTGGTAGTTCTGTCTCACCTGGGAATCCATCTCAACTGGCGTTTCTTCGCTGTTTTTCTTAACAAAACGGTACAAAAATAAAGCTTACGAAGACTCTTCGGTAGTGCAATTGAAGCAGAGGTTTTTTCCTGTGTGTCCGGAATGGATTTAAGCGCGTATTCAGATCGAGATGAAGGAAAAGTCCCGTTCAAACTCTGTTGAAGCAAGAACTGTTTTCTTCCCGAGCGTGAAATGGCAGTTGAGAGTCGCTTCCTGTATTTATACCAGACGGGGGTCGTGGCGTCACTGCGCGTCTCCTCCAATCAGTGAGCGTTGGAGATCACGTGACGGTGAATGAATGAATGAAAACTTTATTACAGACTCAGGGTCCAGATAAAAGACAAGACATTACATATAATAAATTACATACACAGCATAAAAAGAGTTCATAGTTTAAGAATAATTTAAATCAGTGTCCTACAAAGAGACAACTATACCAATGTCTCCACAGCTGCGATTGGTAGCGTGTATATTAAACCTTATGTTCGATAAGGCCAAGAGGATTTCATTATCACAGTCATTAAGCCGGCAAATACATTTATACATGAGATTTCTTAAAACAGCTTGTAGAGTATTGACTCCTGCAGCCACAAACATTTCACTTGCACTGACCATCGAGGTCTCTTAGTCTTCAGCAATATTCTCATGGCATCATTATGAGCTACTTGAAGTTTCCGTAAACTTGCTTTTCTGTAGTTTGACCACAAATGTGCCGTTTAGAGCGGTGTGCAATATGCTCTGAACAGAGACATCTTCACTCCATCTGTACATGCACCAAACTTACGTAAGAGAATGTTTGCTTGTGCACATCATGCGGCATTGCCTATAAATATCTTCATCATCTGTCATTTGTTCTGTAATAAAGTGTCCAAGATATTTTAACTTATTACAGACACTAAGATTAATATCAGACAATTTAAAATCAGGACATTTCAGACATTTATCCTCTTTGGTTCTAAAGATCATGACAGCACTCTTTCTGGCGTTGTATTTGATGTCATGCTCCACACCATACACAGAGCAAACAGCAAGAAGCTGCTGGAGACCAGCGCTAGATGGACTCAGCTCAACAAGATCATCTGCATACATAATATGGTTCACTAGAGTGCTACCAATCATGCATCCAGTATTACAGGCTTTCAGCCGCTTGGACAGATCATCAATATAGAGGTTAAAAAGAACTGGGGACATAATTCCACCTTGTCTGACACCATTGCTAACCCCAAATGGGGCTGAGACCCTATTGCCCCATTTGACTTGCATAGTCTGGTGGCCATACCAGTAGACCAGAACTCTCACAATGTATTTGGGCACCCCTCTTTGACTCAGCTTAACAAATAACGTCCTGTGATTAACACGATCAAAGGCTTTAGAAGCATCAATGAAACACATAAGAACTGATGAGTTATTACCTCTATATTTGTTGACAATTTCCTCTAAAGGCCCGGACACACGATTTCGGCTGTTCTCGTAAGTCGGGAGACGAAGCGTGTCCTGTCGCCCAAACTCAATTTGGTGTGTCCCGCACCGTCGACCGTGACACGCCTTATTTGGACTGCCTGTCCCGATGCATGGCCGATTCAACATGTTGAATCGGCCATGCATCGGGACAGGCAGTCGGACCAAACAATCACTCTGATTGGCTGTTCAGCTAGCGAATCAGTGCATGAGAAGCGAAACGGAAGTGAGGGACGTAAACAAACGATTTAAGAAGGCACACACAGACTGATATTCATTTTCATCTCATCATGGCGATCTGGAATGACGCAAACCTGCTCATCACATTGATCCAGGAGAGGCCAGCTCTGTACGACATCACAGAGAAAAGGTACTCGAACCGAGTAGTGAAAACCGGACTCTGGCGAGAGATTGAAACGCAACTTGGTTTCTCGGGTAAGATTATCTTTTTCATCAATTGAGCTCTTTAGCAGATATTGTTGGCTTCTTATTGTTTGCCAGCGTACAGTGGCGTTAACGTGAAATGTAATTTGTTATTTCAACATTGTGTTTTGTTGTTATCTTGTTGCTAGCTGTTGCTAGCTGTGCAGTTTGGCACTGCATATAGATATGAATTGGACATGCTAACTAGCCACAATGGTTACATCGTTTATTTGTGTGCTTCAGAGAAAGAGCTGAGGAAGAAGTGGATTCTCTGCGAACCCAGTGCACCCGGTACAGGAGACTTGCCCCTTCGGGTAGTTGTGGACCAAAGACGGGCAGACAGCAGTGAATCCTGACCAGGCTGCAGTTTGCACACGCTATTTGTTGTTGTTTATATCACGCAGTCTGTTCTTCTTCTCTGTCTTCCGGTTGTTGCCTATTTTTAATGACGAATACACACTACCGCCGCCTGCTGGTAAGGAGAGTTATTGCCACTCACGCACTGAAGTCTTTGCGGTGTGTTCCCGTGCGACACATGGCCAAGACGCAGGAGAACACCGCGACGCAACAGCCGACGTCGGCGTCGGCGAGTCCTCTGGTGACTGCTTGGTGTGTCCGGGCCTTTAGGCGTATACACACAAGTCAGTGCCATGTTTAGCCTTAAAGCCACACTGGTTATCTGTTGAGTTAATAAAGTCATCTAATCTGTCCAGCAGAATTCTTTCTAGGACTCGTGACAGTGTGCTGGCTAACGCTATGGGCCTATAGTTGTCTAGGCTTCCCACTTTACCGGCTTTGTCCTTAATAACTGGCACCAACAGAACAGACAACATTGAGTCTGGTCACA